TTTCCTTTTCTTTCCTATATGAGTATGGGGCTCCGCTTGGCGGCCCTTCGGGGCGCCGGAGCTCCGCTATAATTGTTTACAGGTTTAGGTGATAGATAATGTAACTTCTTAGTCACTGCCAGCACCCTCTTTCTTATTTTTTGTCCGTAACTTAAGCAAACCATACGCGTTTCCAGAGTAGAGGCCATCAAAGCGTTTTTTTAAAGGCTGTACGAAGAAAGAGCTCCCAGTGAGTTTTCAGTTTACAGAGTTAGTCGTTAAAAGTTCAGTAATCTAACTACAGTGGAATTCAGAACGGTTTTCAATTGAGTCTCATTTAGAATTGTTTTTATCAATTCTGTTTGCCTCGCTTCTCCCTGTGATTGGCTTTGTAATTCACTTTAACTACTGAACCAGTCATTAGAAGGGTCAAAGCGAATTTAGGTTTCCCGAACTTCCATTGGTGTTACTTTTATTTTCTTCTTGCCATCAGCAGTTCATTGTATTGTTCGTGTTTATTGTACCTAGCAGCGTGATTGGTTTCGTATAGTATACTGGTTTGGCTGTTATGAGCGGAGTATATACTTAGCGTTCACTTGTCCTGTTGTTAGACTCGGTTAAAAAAATACAGTCTGTGATGTGTACTTTTGTCATCGTAACGCGTACAATTATGGTTGTATCTATCCGTTTTTAGTAGAATTCGACTAGTATGCTATTTTGATTGGTGATTGGCTGAGCCATTGCACACTATCATTTCATTAGTGTTCAGTGGCTCGGTGTGGTCGACAAAATTGCAATGTTTCCTCGTTTCTCTGAAGTTTTGAAAGAACATTTCGAGACAAATGAGTTAACAAAATTCCTGAGAGGACTAAAAGGAGGGCATTTACGGTTTCTTGAATTAAAAAGCTCGAAATTTTTGAAAGAAACTGATAAGCGCGCGTACACAACTGCCACTGTCAAATTGACAATTCAGTCAGTCAGCGCGAATTCTCCAAAGCGCGGAAGTTTAATACTAAGATCAAAAATAATTGGAATCGTAATTTGAAGACAATTTCAGGCAGAATTCTACTAAAACAATTAGATTATTTGCCTTCGATTTCTATGAGGCGATAGTACCAACTATCACCTCACAGAAATCTCGAACTCATAATCTAATTATTAATTAGAGTCCATAAAAAA